TAGCGTCCTTGCTCCTAGTAGCGATGCCAGGAGCCCCTAGTAGCGTCTTTGTTACTAGTAGCTCGGCGCCTGGATCCAGGTCACCGATCAGCTGCGGTTGATGTCTGCGTCGATGGAAGAGGCGGGGTTGTCACGAAAGGCACCGTTGTGTTGGAGGATCTGTTGGAGTCCTTTACACTCACTGAAATAGTCATGGAAGTGGAAAATAACTTGGGAAAACCAATGAACATTACCTGTTTGTAGGAAATTGGCCATCCAACGGCCATTTTCTACTTCCATGATCCAAGTGTAGTTTTAATTTGCCTTGACCATCTGATTTGACATGATCAACCGATTCTAACATAGTCGAACTATGTCGAACTCTACTGTAGAATTTGTCCTATTGTTGACCTATACCATGTCCCCATTTTTAGATATGTTTGAGATGTTCGAGTATGGAAGCTGGTGAGTGACGATTGAATCATCCAGCTTCAAATTTTCGTGACGTCCGTTTCGACAGAGAGGCGTACTATACTATACTGTACAAGTAAAGTTATTAATTGTAACTCATTTTACTCTCCAATGAGAGGTGCCATGTGACATGTGCCACGTGACATCCTGCTCTCAGGTGCAATCCCATGAGCCGATGCAGCAGGCTGTCCAGAGACGCCTGGCTCGACAAAGGCAACGGGTTGCTTGGCTGACGCGTTGTCACAACGGATCCGTGAGAGAGTCGGAGTCGGTTTTTGAGGCCGTTTGGAGTCGGAGGCCTGGTGATTCCATGAATCTCGAAGATTCCACAAATACCTATTGTTTGGGGCTCTTCTTTGTATGTGCCCCCAGTGCGGAAGGAGTTGGAGTGTTCTCCAGTAGCTCTTTGGAACGACATGAAGATGTTGCAGTGCAAAACCTCCGAAGTCCTTAAACTCCCAACTGAGATGCAGCTGCCTTCCTTCAACTCCCATCCACTGTCAGGTTTCTGGCGCTGCTCAGCGAGATGGTGAGACGGTGGGATGACCTCGAGCCGACAGGGTCTGGCCATGTTTTCAGCTCCAACTTCTCAAGCCGATCAGATCTATATATATAAATTAATGTAGAATATCCCTGATTGGTGCTCAGAATTGAATGGTGGGAGCTCGAGCTCCTTTCTTTTCCAGCAATTTTCAAAAGGGCGTCTTAAAATGTTACCACCTCACTGTGATTTTGGGAGCTCCAACGTTGGTCCCTGGTAAGTTTAAAACAAGGCTGGAGGTCGGCAACTACTGATTGTCGCATATTGTAGCTATATTCGATCTAGGCATCCCCAACCACAACCCTTGAGCTGTCAATTAGACAAACCAATGGAGCATATGTTAGGCCAAACGGCCAAGAGAAAATCTTCTATACTATACCTTTTGCTTGTCTTGTTGGGGTTGGCTACCCACCCCTCGATGGGATAGCATAGATGGAACACAGACATGAAATGGATGTGTTTTGACTTAGGTCTTAAAAATACTGTCCCAGGGTCCCAGCAGTTGGTTGGTTTAGAAAGAGAAAGAGAGAAAGAGAGAGGGAGTGTAGATAAAGCATTTTGAGCAGGTCGGGGTCACAAGTCTTTTTTTTGTGGAGGGGCCAAGGTTGAGCGGAGTTAGACATCCACAGACGTTGGGTTTGCTGGGTGCTGACGGTCTTCTCACAATGTACAATATGCCCCGGACGTTGGCGTTTATCCATTTGGTGGCGCTCAGACTCTGAAGTTGCTTGTCCGTTTTCAACCCTTACAGTGACCATGGAACTGGGATTCTACAATGATCTACCAGCAGTTTTTTTTGTGGTAGAAGGAGCTTTTAAGTTTCTGCCCAAAGTCAAACCGAAATCAGGAAAGCCTGCAAATGGAGATGTCAGGGACCATGATGAACGACGAACTGTCGAAGTGCCTCGTCTGCCCGGCTTTTGATAAATGTGGCCTTCGGTTTGTCTGAAAGCCCGTGAGACTGAGACGTTCCTTTGTGGGGAATGCTGCCGGAGAATTGGAAAGGTTGAACAACGATTCTGCACTTTGCATGTCATTCTTTTCAAAGTTCTTTGGGAGATCTTTTCTCCAGATCAAATGAAACAGTGCCCCCCCAAAAGAACTGTGTGCTCTATAGATCCACGGCTTTGACAAGAAACTTTGGGTCCAAGATGGTCCGCCAGCGTTCAGGTTCCGGTTTTTGTGAGTCAACGATTGGCTGCTGAGGACGAGCGTGTCAGCTCCGCACTTGCCGAGTCACCAGGTGTGTGACAAGAGACGAGTCGAAGATAGTCAGATAGTCCAGGAAGGGCTCGGTTTGCGAGATCTGTTTCTCGGAGTTTGTTTTTGCTCCGCGGTCTTTGTCCTTTGTTTTTGGATGTTTTTGGATACTAAAGGATTTCAGACGTTTTGAAGTTAAAGCATGTTGTTTGTACTCTGGAGTTGACACAGTCTCTCTCATGAGCCACAAACACTTTTGGCCAGTCCCGCAGCCAGGCCGTCACGGCTCTCTCTGGCAGCTTGGAGCTGTGGTTCAGTTTGGCTACACTACCCTCCCCAAGCGATGACACTTCCATAGGTCCATAGATCCATCTAAACTGCTTTTTGAGGCCACTCAGGTCCAAAGTGAGCTTCAGGATTCCAAAGTTGTGCTGATCGCCTCATGTCGCTCGCTGTGCGAGCCTCGCACCGCCCCGGCTGCAGTGCTTTGCCGGTCGTTCGTTGGTTCGGAGTCTTCAGGGGCTCCCGAAGACGTCCGACCGTCGATGTCCGCCATCGCCGGTGAAACCGCCGTCAGGTCGAGGCCTCATGCTGGAGTGTTGGAAGAGGTGCGCCTCATCCAGCCGTGCGGTGGCATCGACTCATGCGTTAGGTACTGTAGAGTCGGTGTCCTGTACCCGTTAGAGCCGTGGTTAGGGGGTGTTGTGTCGGTCGGTGGAGTGATAGTGCTTGTGTCCATCTACCATCATCTATCACAATCTTCAGGTGTTTCGAATGGGCACGGTAGCTCTTCCGGTACGATACAGTCAGTTATCTGATGACAAAGATGCTGAACAAAAACACACATGGACGCTGTGAGTCCATGATCTGGAGCACGTTGAGGTCCCAACAAAATGGACT